GATGCACTGGTCCATCCTTTGTGAAAGCAAATAGATAACACCGTCCCACAGTTCTCTGCAGCAGCAGTCAGAACGATCTACAGCCGATTGTGTGGCTGTGCAGCCTGGTCTGAGTGCAGATTCTCTCGTCAGATTGAACCTCATGTACATCATTTGGAAGCTCAAACATACAGAAACCTTGTGAGTGTAGCGGCTGGTTAGACAGACATCATCAGCAGGTTCCTCCAGACCAGATTCCATCTACAACAACGCACCAGAACAAGACTGCCTCCTTTTCTCCATGACGTGCAGCATGCATCAGACTAAACACACGACCCTGAGAACTAGTTTTCTGGATTCCTACTCGATGACACATGATGTTGAAACCACACCCACACGCTGCTGGTGACCAACGTAGCTGTGAAGCAGATTCAAGTCCTCGTGACTCCATCTGAGGATGTTTAAACTTTAGTGTTACTTTAAATCCTCGACGTTGTGAAGAAAACGGCTCCTCACACGTCAAAGCCCAGCTCCTACATGTAATGGTTTAATATAGTTTATCACTTACTGATGAAAGAAATTTAAGATATCTGAATAAATATACCAGCTGATGAATCTGAAACTTGAGAAAAATGCTGTCAGCAAACTAAACTCATCGTCTGTTCAGTAACCTGCAAAGCAACAAGTAATCGTACCAGAGCAATCACTGCAGCAGAGAAAACATGATTCCTTCTATGACATGCAGACAGAACGGCAGATGATTTGAATGTAGATGTTTTTCTGTACAGTGTGGAACCGAAGCCAGAACCCTACCTGCAGTAATTCCTACTTGATGACAGCCACTTTCAGCATGTGGCTCTGTTTCAACTTTCCAGCTCGCCGTTTGTCAGCTGCAGCACACAAACCTTTTTATTCCTGTCTGATTGACCCGCGCAGCAATAATGTGATTACGGGGCAGGTGGGCCCAGGATCGCCCATCGCCCGTACTTATTGGATTGAGCCAAGTGGGTTGTATATCATCTATTGTTCCCGAGTGGGGGCATTGACTGGCAATTCACAAAATTGAATTTATAACTCAGCTTATGATGAATTTCGGGCCCTGTTCCACGGTTAATGGCCCCTTGTTTGTTTCACGTATCGGCTGCATTCGCCTGCGCCGGCCGCCGATACGGCCGAGTGTTGTTGTTTGCTGGCATGTCAAGCACGGCGGTAAACAGAAGCCCGCTTGCTTATTGATTGGATGTTTCAGAGAGAATGTCAAGCCTCACCCTGAGCTTTACGAAACATGTTTAGCTGCAGATACAAGGACATGCCTGTGAGGTAGGAGAGAGAGGAGAAACAGAGAGAGGAGGAGGAGGAGGAGGAGGAAGAGGAGGAGGAGGAGGAAGGGGTATAGGTGAATAGAGGTACAAAGTGGCAGCAAATTGACTTGCTCCACCGAAATAGCGTTTCACAAATGTAGTTCCTTCCTAACAAGTGCTAATTGCTCCGATGTGGGGACAGGAACAAAGAGAGAACAGCGTGGCGGTGCAGAGAGTGACATTTAGTTTTCCATGTTGGAGCTGATAGTGGGTTGCATAATAATACAGCAGCCTTCTTTAAATCACAGGTGGTCATTTTCAACTTCTTTTTCCGAGCAAAGTTTTAAACAGCCAGCGTTAAATCACAGTCATCTGCTGTAGCCGGCTGAGAAGTCGCACTTTATCCCAGCTATACGGGAGCTTTATTCAAACCCATTCGCGGGAGCAGCTATATATAACGCTGGAGAGAAAAAAAGAAACGAGAGAGAGCGGCATGTTTGGCTGTAAAGAACTACCTGCATTAAACTAAAGCAGCCTCCAAACCGCAGAAGCAAGTGATCATCAGCCCTCTTCTGTCTGATAGACGGAGCACCGATTGAAGGAACATAAATGAGGTCGGGCCAACCTGAGCCGTGCAGGCAGCTCCGCACATCACTCATCACAAATGGAATTTACATTCAGCCACAAAAATTGAAAAATACTCTCTGGCTCCATGTTGCAGATCCTAGCGTGTGGGTTTTAATGACGTGTTAATCTTATTAGTCTACGAAATGCTCTACATACCTTCCAAATGAAGAAATCTACCTCCCTGATAAAAGTGTGTTTGAGTGTAAATGATGCCAAGACTACAAAAGAACAACCTCCACAACTGGAAAACCAACTTTAAACGTGGACGAACTCGGTGCTGTGAAGACGCTGAGGCCGGATATCAGTTCCCAACACACCAAATCTACTGTTGCATCCCGACAGTGTGTAAACGACCACCTACCCAGTGCATGTCAGGTGGTGGTAGATTTACTTCACAGGGAGCAGCACCTACATTCGGCTAACACTGAAAACAAACGGACCGCGGTATGGAGCTGAGCAGGACCCGACTGTGATATAAAGAGAAACTAAACTCGGAGGACTTGCAGACGTTTGGACACTTTGGCTCAAACATTATCTCTTGTTGAACTGGACAGACTTGCTCATGACAGACCGCTGCTCTCTACGTGAAACAGACCAGAGCTCACCACAAGTTCACCCTGACTCTATCAACTTATGAAAAATTGACAGAAGCATATCTGCACTTTAAGAAAAAAAACTATGACGCCAGCACGGAGAGAAGCACTGGTTGCTTTCAGCCAAAGCTGCATAAAGAAAGTTGCATAACCGTGGAACATGCAGCCAATGCAACTTTGTCTAGCTGATACTTGCCCATCATTCATCTGGACAACCCCACCACCAGAAAAACACGCTTTCCTAAACTGTACAAAACCCTAAAATAGTCCACGTCAGATGTAAAAGCTGCTGCAAATTCTTCTGCCATTCTGAGGGGATGTTGCCCCCACCAAGAACGAACATGAACACATGAAATCAAACTTGGCAAACCACCAACATCAAGGCGAGCATCCCATTCAGAGGAGCGGGCGACACATCATACTCACATCTCTGTCACGTTCTCGCTCTCCTGCAGCACCAGCTTCGGGATGCTGGTTATGCCATTGGGCTCCAGGCACTGCAGCATGGCGAACGAGCACCGGCAAGCCGACGGGCATCCTCCCAGGGCGGGTGCCGGAGCCAGGCTCAGCAGGGCGAGAAGCGCCAGGGCCCGCGGTGCCACGGCCATCTCTGAGAGCAGATGTCGGTCTCAGCACCACCGGGGAGGTTTGGCGGCTGTGGCTGGAGTTGGTTGGTTCACCTTACAGAAGAGTAAACAAAGAGTGGCGAGGAGGCTCCACACTCTCTGCTCTGGCGGGTCGAGATCCCAGCTGGTCAGGGTCTGGTGCTGAGCCACAGCTGTACTGAGCAGCAGGAGGGGCAGGCAGGCAAGCAGGCAACGGGCCCCTGGGGACATGGTAGTGGTGGGCTGCAGCCTCTCTTCCTCCCTCTCTCCTCCTCTCCTCCACGACGAAGGGAGGAGCAACACAACATGGGCCAGAGTCACCAGACACCTCAGAAAGCAGAGGGGGGGAGGGCTGGGGTGGAGGTGGAGGGCTGTGTGATGATGAGCAGAGGAGATGGGATATGGTGATGGAGATCTCATCTGCCCTCCTCCCCCCCGGGTGAGAGGTCTGTTGTCCCGCCAGCAGCTCGAGGTGGAAGCTGAGCCGAGGAGTCCGGCTGTGGGCGGCGGGATGCAGGCGGCAGCTCCCACACCGCTGCACCGATGGATCGGCGCGTCCCGGGAGAACCGATCGTTGGAAGGTTCATGATTGTTGACACTTAGGAGGCCAGCAATGAATTTAATGGCTGCGGAAATATAAGGCGGGGGAGCGCATGCTATTTGCAATACGATGTTTCTCAACAGCGTGAACTCCCAACAGGGTTTAATGATAGGAAATGAAAGCAAACGCCTGAAGGTCTCCGAGTCTGTTGTTTTTCCAGCGCTGGAACATTTCCAGTGTTTAGTGCATGATTTGTATCCTGCACTTATTTAGGTTTGACAGACCAGCACCCAATCAATCAGAACCAGTAATGATCCAACCTTCCTCCAAAAGCTGACAGCTAAAGGTCCCGACGTGTCCACCAGAACCTCGGACCTGACATCCATATGGGTCTGGATCTGTCTTGTTGGGTCCCGGTTGTGTAAAACCGCCAGTGGATTCCAGAAGTGAGTGTGTGTTGCATGTTTGTGACATTAGGATGAGGAAGTGCAGGCCGGGAACTCAGGTGTGCAAAGCTGCATTTATCATCCTTCACCGTGACAGCAAGCGGACCTTTAACCTGAAACAACAAGAGAATCAGCCATGAGGTCTTAATCAGCAGGAGAGGAGTAACAGACAAAACGGGTGTGTCTGACCGACTTTCTTGGCAGGAGGATGCGTTGTTTGCATCCCGGCCGTGCACAGGAGAACACTGATAGTGTTACATGAGGCAAGACGTAAAGCTTCACTGAGACGGTACATTAATGTCGGTTTGTTCACAGCAACAAGCTGAAACTGAGCCTATTTGACTCTGTAGCTTGTGGCCCAGTCCAGTATCACAAAAACTACATTCCTACAAAATCAAACTGCATGATGTTTGAAGGGGATCAGATGTTCTGTGTGTGACATATCATTTCAAACCAGCTCATCTGCTTTGCTGTTGCTCCGTTTCAGCTGACCAGATGAATGTTAGGTGGGGCTGTAAGCTTCAAACATGTTGTGAAAGATTTGTTTCCTAACACACAGCCAGCAGCTTTAGGGCCTGAAATGAACCAGGATTCAAACAAGTAGGCATCACCGTGAGCGTTTCAACCAAAGCGTGACATTTTTCTAAACCGAACCATAGTTCTGGTGTCTGAATACAAACAAACTGCAAATGAAAATGAAAGAAAACAGTCAGTGAAGAATAATGGCTCCACATGGCTCCTCAGTCGGCTGCCTGGAAAGTCCTGTTGCTGACTTCTACACTGGAAGCAGTTTTCCACTACATCTCCTTTCAGGGAGAAAGTCCATAAATGAGAATGCAGTTAAACAGGCAGGAGACCGGGCCGTGGGGTTACGGTGAGGCGCAGGTCCCAGTTTCAGACAACCTGGCTTTGGGTGTTACATCTCCAGCTCTTTCTTGGGGCTGAGGCTGTGAGGACCACTGATTACAACCTTAAAGAACACGTTACTTCCCTTTAAACGTGTAGCGTCGTACTGTTGTGTCCCCCTTCTGGCCATCAGAATAATCACACAAACACTGTTAATGCGCACTGCTGGCCCACGCCCAGCCATCTTCATCTGGAGCATCAAAACGTGTCTTGGATGCTTCCTTGGTGTTTTTTCTACATATTCCAATTTACTTTGTCGCTATGGTTACTACACGGTAGATTTTAACCTCTAGTAAACTACAAAAAGACGACTGATGCCCTTCATCAGCTCCTCTAGCAAGAGCTTGAACATAATGGACGTATTTATAGGTAAAAGTCCGGTGCTCTAGCTTTAAATAGACATCGGAAACCCTTCTGAAGCCACTTTGGTTCATTAAAATGACTTGTTTTGTCTGACACACTGTCCCAGCCTCTCCTTCCAAACACTAAAACAACCCACAGCAAACAGAGAAAAGTATGAAATCAGCGCATGTGAGAAAACTGTAAACTTTTGCTTTGAATGATTGTTTCAGCACAAACTGAAGCTTCCAAACCGTCTTCTACAGTTCATTTGAAACAGCCGTGAGCTCTACGTACCACCAGTGACAGTGCTGCTAATCCTATAACCGCTAACATGAAGCTGCAGCAGAGACGCTGCCGCCCATCACATACATATATGTACCTTATAGGAGCCGGCTTCCACCCCCGGGACGTGCACTGTGCCCCACCCCCATCCCTCTTAGTCGCTCTGCACATGAGTAAGGTCATAGTGTCCCGACCACAATTACTGGCCATAAGCTAAATAGCCGTTTTTGCTGCTGTCATCAGGATTATCTGGTGGCTTAATTACTCTTCCTCTTTTCTTGGCCTTAGCTCAGCAGATAGTGCGGAGGGACAAGGCGCTTATTCACAGGGAAAGCGTCTAAAAGCTCCGGCACGGCAGCTAAAGGATGAGAAACTGACTGGGAAGCATTTCCTGGGAGCGTGCAACATATCACACAAAACAAACATATGCAAATTCAAGCCCATGTAAGCAGCTTGTAAAGTACATTATGCGTGCATTATTTATCACAACGTATTTATGCTCCCTTTCCAGGCTTTATTTGGCAGTTTACTGCATGGGAAGTGATTTCATTTTAAATTTACGATTTGTATGTGCACGAGCTCCTCCGGCGCGATCGCAGTGCTGCACGCTGGCTCATGTCTGCGTGATGTGGAGCGTCGACAACAGACAGCTGATGGACACGGAGCGTATGCTGAGAAGATCTGAAGAAGCTTCTTTCTTTAATTTTAGAAACACTAACTGTGTGGCTTTAGGAAAACTGAAATAATTACAGGATGACTGAATTGGGACGAATGGTGCCCAGAGAATAACTCAGGACTTTAAATGATCCGCTACGATATCTCAGCATCTACTGGATGGATCGTCATAGAAACAGGCATCAAGGTAAATTCAGCAGGAAACAAACCAGGCTAAGACATAGAGGACAACAGGGAACCAACCAAAGAGGATCTGAGACCAAGAGGAGATGGAGGTAAATAGAAAAAATACCTCCACCTCCAACTCAGAACAGCAGCCGTGCATATGCTTTAATACATGCAAGGATCAAGGCTCAACATATGCATTCCTACTAAAGAGATAGGACGGCAACCTGCTGACAGCTAGAAGAAAAGCTGCTTAGCTTATAGTGTTCAGGTTTTTCATTCTGTCCAAGCAAAGGTGTTTACATGTTCCATCTAAACCAAAAGACAAAGGGTTAGTGTGTGACATTAACACATACTTCAGCTGCAAACATCACTCAGTTAGCTGTCAGTTATTAAGTATTCATCCACTATTTTGATAATTAATCGGTTTCAGTTCTTATGATGACGGAAACCGAGCAGGTCGAGTGGACACAGATGACTGTGAAGATCTGAAGTTGGTTCACAGCTAAAGTCAGGTCTGGTTCACTACCTGCAGTGGTCTGTAATCAGACCATGACCCCAGAATTCACCAGAACTGAGTCACCCATACCTTCTGCTGGTCCACCTGTAGGATGTCTACACTGGGAGAGAACAAACTCATAAACTCTGAGTGTGCTCCCACTTTGGCGTTCCTTCGGTCTCTGGTTCTCTTCGTGTGACTTCCATTCAGGTCTCCAAAAGGTGCACAGGTCTACAGCTGCCACCGGAGTCTCTCGCTGCCTCCGTCCATGTCTGTGGTCGGGTTAGACGACCACCTCAAACTAAGCAACACACCCCTGGCAGCCGGATCTGGGTGCTGACGGACTCGACCCGGTGCAGGATCCTCAGTCCGGTGCTGCAGGTTGGCCCTGGTCGCCCTCAGTGCACCTCCACGTACCCAAAGCTCAGGAGGTCCTTTAGCAGTTGTTTCTTCATCGTATTTTACTGATGTGAGGTCAGTTTACCTCCAAGCTGATTCCTTTCATTCCAGGTTTCAGATCTGTTCAGCAGGTGTTACCAACAGAGGAGGTCACGGTGACTCTGCATGACGGACGTATTTTAATCCTGTCATGGCTAATCTGTCCACAGACGTGTCTCCTCTCTGCTCTGAGGGAACACAGCCTGCAGTTCAGCCCAAAAGTCTGGATTTCTGTCACAAATATTTAGCTTTGATTCAGTTGGTACAGCGCTTCACAGATGGGTAGTTCAAGGACCGTCGGAAAGTGGACATTCTGTTGACTCTTTGTGTTTTCACCGTTTCTGGCTGATAAACGTTTTAAACACATCCTGCCAAGTGTTGGGATTCAAGGGGTTAAAGTAAGGTGGCTAAACTAGAATGAAACCTTTATTTCCTCCAGGTCTTTATTAACATCAGGTGATTCAAACAGGTTAACGTCTCCTCCGGGTGTTTGCGCTACGTATCCAGCTCTCCTCCAGTTTTCCCACAGCGAGGCCGCCTGTCCTACATCCAGATGAAAGCTAAGTACAGGAAGGGAAGAATTCAGTTACCCTCTGTCCTAATAGGACGCATTATCAGTCCTGATAACAGTAACCAATTAGGCAATTTACGCTTAGCGTTTCCTCCACAGTTCCATGGAAATGTCATAAAAATGATGATTAGAATAAAAGAATCTTCTGGAATTTCTCTGCTCTTAACAAAATAATAACAGGAAGAGTTTCATTAATCAGCTGACAAATACGTCGACTGTTTCTTACAATGATGAACCCAAATTAATCAAAATGTTCCACATTTCACAACACAGCTGACATCCT